GATGTTTTTACCTCATATCTCTACTTTTCTACAGATTTTTTTGTAATAAATAAAAATGTTAAGAAATAAATCATATCAAAAACAATCCTAGGTCTAATGTTAAGCCAGGCCGAATTTGAAATGATACATATATTTTTGGGTTAATTAAAAAAAAAAAAAAAAACACTTAAGGTTTCACACATTTTTCACTTTAAACCCTAGTGTTTTAATTTCGACAAATTAAACCTAGAGTTCCATCTGTATTTTAATTTGCCCCTTTTGTCCATCTCCGTCTATGTAAAGAAACAGAGAGAATTTAAAGTGAAAAATATTAAGGTTTAAAGTAAAAAATGCGTGAAACCTTTTCAAGATTTCACGTATTTTTCACTTTAAACCCTCTCCATTATCTTACACAGACGAAGATAGGCGGAAGAGATAAATTGAAACATGGATGAAATTCTAAAATTTAATTTATCAAAATTAAAACACTGAAATTTAAAATAAAAAATATGTGAAATTTGATAATTTTCTTTTGTGATTAACCCTACATTTTTATTATATAGGGTCAATCTGAACCAAACTAAACCTTGCCTGATCTTTTATCCACCCTAGCAAAAACATGTCAAAAAATTTTAGTGAATAATGTAACTTGCACATAAAATGTGACTGCGATTTCGTTTGAGAAGTTAGTTATTTTAATTGTTTTTTTTGGATTTTTAGCTATTTTAATTTAATTAAAAAATTTATGTTTAGTAAAATAGTTAATTTTTTTTAGTTAATTTGATAATTGTTAGAAAAAAAGTAAAATGATTATGAGTTAGATATAACATTTTATCTTATTAACTATTTTAATTTATTTTGTCTTTGGCCCTGTTTGGGAAAATAGTTGGGCTAAAATTGCCCATCAAAAGATAAAATAGGTTAAAATAGTCAGTAAGACAAAATATCGCATCCAACCTATAATCATTTCACTTTTTTTTATCACAACTATTAAATCAATTGTAAAAAAGCCAACTAACTTTTCAAACACAATTTTTTGTAATGAGATTAAAATAGTCAAAAAGTCAAATAGTCAATTAAAATAGCTAACTTTTCAAACAAAGCCTTTTTTAACTATTTTAGTACAAGTAGCATTTTCCAAACAGGGCCATACCTTTTAATGATTGTTACACATTTCCCAGAGTTAATGATTGTCATTAAATGTTTAATTTGTAATGCATGTTTTCTTTGGGTAGTTGGTTCGAGCTAAATAAATTAATAAAAAGATAAAATAAATTAATTTAGCTAATAAAATAAAATAATACATTTAAATTATAATTGTTTTTCTTTTTTTTCCTTACAGTCATCAAATCAATTATAAAAAATTAAAAAAAAAAGTTAATGATTGTCATTAAATGTTTAATCTGTAATTACTATGCATGTTTTTTTGGGTTATTGGTTCAGGCTAAATTAGTTAATAAAAAGATAAAAATAAGCTAATTTAAGTGATAAAATAAAGGGAAAATCGGTTTAAGGTCCCTATCCAACTTTTAATAATGGATTAGGTCCACAATGTGTTCTTTTGTAGCCTAAGGTCCCTTAATGTTATTTTAGAGTGTAAAATACCTGTCTTACCCTTGTTTATAATATACGTTGTTTTGAATTTGGCAGCTAAAGATCATATTGATATTTTGTGGGAGATTACGTGAGGATGAACTTGACAATTCAGATTTTTGTGCAGATTTTCTAGGGTTTTTGTAGGTGTTGAAATCCTGTTCGTTGTTTGTAGGTGTTGAAATCCTGTACGAGTTGAAATCATGTTCGTTGTTTGTAGGTGTTGATCGATCGTGTAGGAGTTGAAATCTAGTTCATTGTGCTTGATTTGATTTCATGTGGAGTTGAATTAGATAAGTTTTCAATTTTTGATTTGATTTGATCGTGTAGGTGTTGAATTAGGTTTTTGTTTTTAGTTTTGATCAATGTGAGAGAGACGAACTCAGTGTTGTTGTTTTTAATTTTTGAAGTTAATTTTTCATTATCTGTTATTGATGAATTTTCGATGGAGTTGATTTTGATTTTTGGAGTTGCTTTTTCATTCTCTGTCAACATGGTTATGAGTTGCTTTTTGGTGCTCTATTTTTCTGCGTTTTTGTGCTTTGTTTTTTGTTCACTTTGCATTTTTTGTATAGTGCAGAGAAAATTGCAGGTTTGTTACTATAATTGAACTCAAATCACAAAAAAAATTGTAAGTAGGCAGAGAAATTTACAGATGTAGCAATAGAGTAGTAAGTGTTTTGTTTTTTTGTTTTTTTTTTAAATTTTTTGAATTGAATGTTTTGTGAACATAACAGATCTTCTCTGTGATTTTTTTATGTGCTTGTGTTTAATATATTTTTGTCTCTTGATGTTAATGTGTTTTTGTTTTTGTTATATTGAAAGTGAATATAAGTTCACAAATTTCTCTGGACTTTTCTTTGTAGTCCAGAAAAAATCATATGATTGTATTACAAATGATAAGTATTACAAATTTCTCTGGACTTATATGTTGTGTTTTTATGTGTTTTTATATGTTTGCACTTTTCAAAGTTTTCTGATATGTTTTCTTTGCACTTTTCATTTTTTTTTTTTTTTTGCACTATTCATGTTTCTGGACTTTTCTTTGTAGTATAGAGAAAATCATAGGTTTGTTATTATAATCCAATGAAAATGACAGAAAAAATGTTAAGCTTGTAGTTGAGTGAAAATCACCACTACAGGAAATTCGTTTTTTAGCGGCATTTTAAAAACGCCGCGAAAATCATGAAAAACGCCGTAATATCTTATAGCAACATGTAAAATTTTCGCCACTGATACGGCCACCGCAATAGCTACCCAACGTTTAAAAAATGTCGCTAAAAACATTATACGACGTTTCCTAAAACGCCGCAAAATCTTTGACGACCGTCTCACCTTCCGTCCCCAATTAATGTGTGACGTGGAATGACGTCATTTTGTGGCGTTTTTTCGAAAAACGCCACTGTCTTTTATTTTTTTATGAATTAAATGTGTGACGTCACAATGACGTCATTTTGTGGCGTTTTTTTTAAAAAACACCACTTTTTGGGGAGGGGGGGGAGGGGTTGGTGGGTTCCCTGCTGGTGGTGAAAACTGAATTCACAATTTGGGGATCTCATGTTTTATGTTTGCTCTATGCAACCAAACTGCTAGATTTAAAACCAATCCTCAATACATGCCATATACATGCATAATATAATCTCACCAGAATCATCATTTCAAGTAAAAATTTCACCTATTACAAACCTATTTCCATTCTCAGTTATATTTCTGTGTGAATCCAACATAGGCACATAGACAAACACATTGTTTTGTATGGCAAGTCAAAGAAACAAACATGGATAACAACAACTGCATGTCTGCATTTTAGAAAACTGCTTCATCAACACCCCACGTCCATGTTGAAGTCTGACACTTACATAAGCAAAGCCAATGCACATAGATTAAAACCATCAACTGCATCAAACCTATACAGTAGCCCCTACAAAATGTTTGATCAAAACAACGAGCCAATCTTGCAGGTGACTTCCACAGGAGTATTAATGTATCAAAGACAATAAGACACTGAAGTTTTAACAAGAGCAAGTCCCTGAAAATATGCATCTGATGTTGCACCAGGGGTTGCCAAGGTTGAATTAGAGCTCTTGGGTAGAGGAGAAACAAGGCAGCCTTCCTCACCCACTAAAGCTGCTGGTGGAGTTAAGGATCCTTGAGCCATTGAAGTATCTGATTTTGGTACAAATTCAGGGAAGGCACATGCAAGTATCTTCTCTGGTGACTTAGCAAGTTCTTCTCTCAAGGGCTGGCCAGCATCTGATCTAATTATGTACATAAACCTAGATTTTGATGCCAATAATTTAAAACAATGAAAGAAAACAAAAGCAGGATAAACTGATCAGTTGACCAAGTAAATTACTGATTAATTTTTCAATCAAAGCATCTAACCCATTTCCTATCATTATATAAACCAAAAAAGTCACGCTAGTGGGGGGAGTAATAAATGTCAAAATTATTATAATCTCAATGTAATTTTTTCACATATTCTTACACATATTATGCAGGCTGGAAGTCTGCTCAGAAAACAAAAACAGGATAAACTGATCAGTTGACCAAGTAAATTACTGATTAATTTTTCAATCAAAGCATCTAACCCATTTCCTATCATTATATAAACCAAAAAAGTCACGCTAGTGGGGGGAGTAATAAATGTCAAAATTATTATAATTCTCAATGTAATTTTTCACATATTCTTACACATATTATGCTGGCTGGAAGTCTACTCCTTTGTGCCCCTAAGGGTTTCTGTTGTTATGAGGCAGATCAATTTCTAGCATGGACAGAGATGCAACTGTTAAGATTCCTCAAACAAAACAGAATAGGGGTAATTTGTCTTCTATACTACTATCTCACTGAAGTTAGGTCAAGGGGTAACAAGGGGTAATTCATCAACTCTGGTACTTCTACAGCAAAATGATGTCAAACCCTGGGCATACTTGGAAGCATTACTCATCAATATATACAATAATCTACTCCCAATCAGAAAACAAGCCGGGGCTGTAATTAGAGGACAAAAATATATATTTTCCCCCTTTTTTGCGATATGGGTACTCAAGAGTTCATGCGGGTGTGTTCATAAACTAAGACAAATTAGCAGAGAATACACTAAAATGAACACATAAAGAAGCAATTTGAGGAACAAACAACAATTTCACAGCATGAAAAATAGCAAAACTGAAGTAGCATATCAAAAGAGAGGCTTACACTCTTAGGAGCATGAAGCAAATCCAACTAAATGAGATATGCTATGGTATATTATAAATAGTGTTTTATAAGCATAAGAGGTATTCTAAACCAACTATAATGGTTTAGAATGAACCTTAGTTTGCCATATCTACTTCTTCTTCTTCTTCTTTTCTTTCTTTGATATGTGAACTTGCATTTGATAAGAACAAATAACATGAATAAAATGTCATATGAAAATTTTATAATTAACTATTACTCACTTCCTCGGATGAACGATGACAATTAAACGATGAGGTGTATGCATGAGATTGTTGTTGTGAATGCACATGTGTAGCAGCTGGTGCAACAGGCCCACCCATGGCCTGTTGAGACTCCAATTGCTCTATTCGGGCTTGTTGAGCTTGGATTGTGCTTTGCATCTCCATTTGTACTTTCTGTTGATTAAGCATAGCATTCATCATCTCCTTCATTTGCATCTCCATTTGTGCTTTATATTGGTTAAGTTGCTCTTGGACTTGCGTTTGGATGATACGAGTTTGTTCTTGCGATTGCCTATATCCGCCTCCAAAGACATCTGTCGGGGAAGGACCCAATCCATATGTTCGAACACGACCAGGTCGCTCAGGCCCTAGAACCTGTGTGATAATTTCCTCATTTGTAGCATTGGATTGCGCCCCAAGGTCCTTCATTTGTGTCTACAATTGTTAATTAGTAATTAGCCACCAATAAAATTGTTCATAACTAGTGCCGTTAAATGTAACTTGCTTCCATTGGGCCATATGAATTCAATAAAAAAGGGTAAATTACTAATTAACGGCACTAGTTAATCTATAGTCCTTGACTTGTAGATTTGGTAGCAAAAAAAGGTAAATGGAATCAAACAAGAAGCTTTCACTAAATTTGATCATGTGAAAAAATTGAATGAAAGATCCTGTGTTAAAGTTACACAATGGCCTTAGAATAGCAAAGGGAACAAGACTAAATTGGAGTTTGAGTCAAATTGGAAGGGAAAAGAAATATCTTAAGTCAATTGAGTAATTTGATGTAACATATTATGTGGTAAAAATTAAATTAATCTCTGACAAAACACTAGAATGATCACACTTTCATTAGGTGCAAAGGCTCCTGAGAAGTTTCTGCCTTCTAGGTCAGGCACACTAATCAAAAATAATTACTGAGTACCTTATATATATGTTAGTAGCATATTTATGTCTTATTGAGACAAGTACCTAATACATTCCATACATGCAAAGTATATAATTATGGTGCTACATACCATGACCTCAACAACTTTATCATTACTTGGTTTGTTATCCTTCGTGTACCTAGCCATCCACAGCTCTAAGCGTGTTGCAGGAACTCCATTCTTCTTATTAGTTTCCTACAATTACACTTAAAATTAAGTAACAAAATCAAAATATACAATTTCAATTTGAAATATAAAGAAACTATATACCTCTACTCGAACAACTGAGAATGGTTTTCTGCCAGTTATGTGATTTAATGTCTTCTTCTTCCGAATTTCTTTGTTTTTTATACTTTTTTTCTGTTACATATGAACACAAACACAAGATAATTTATTAATTAACAAACTCATCTTATGAGATTACGATAGAGTTATATAAACAATTTAAATGATACCTGTGCCTTCCGAGTGCCCCAATAATAGACTAAGCTTCGCCATTATAAACAATTTAAATGATACCTGTGCCTTCCGAGTGCCCCAATAATAGACTAAGCTTCGCCATTGATGCTCATGTACTCTTTCGGGCCGATGAGTTAACCTATCAGCATCGTTGTCGAATGGCGTATACCCCAATTGTTTAACTCTAGCCTTCCACTCTCTCCATTTTTTTCCAACAGATGCCAAAACAAATTTCTTCATTGACTCGTCGGCATCTGTATTGATCTGCAAATAATTGGCAACTTTGTGACTATTGCATACACACAGCAGCAACAACATACACGCAGCAGCATACACACAGCAGCAAGCCCACAGCAGTAGCTAATTTCACAAATCAAGATAATATTAGCAGTAGCTAATTTGGTAAAACAGAGATTCCTCTAAAGTTGCAGAGATAATTCCGTTCTTTTAAGTTCTAAAGATAATTCCGTTCTTTTAAGTTCTAACCATTATTAACATATAAATGAAGTACCACGCATGACCTGTTAACATAGAAGTAAATATAGTTTTGTTACTTAGCTAATCATTTTGTCAGCAACCGGCCTAATTATGGACGAAGACGTGTATATGCCAAATGCTCAATTTAACAGCGCGGAGAAATGGGAAAGGAAGTTCAACACCTGGACATAAAAATAGATTAAGGTAAAAGTAAATGCACTCAGATCATTTTGTCGGCAACCAACCTAGTTATGGAAGAAGACACGTATACACCAAATGCTCAATTAAACAGCACAAAGAAATGGGAAAGTAAGTTCAACACTTGGACATAAAAGCAGATTAAGGTAAAAGTAAATGCATGGCAAAAACAAACTGGCAACTATAAAATATGAAACAAATATAATAAATAATAACAAATTAAGATTAAAATTGATATGTAAAATGAAATAATTCTTTTACCTTTACTTCTCTCCAAATTCTCTCTTTATTTTCCTTCGGTACATGGCTCCAAGTTCTATAAGTGAGGGGCATAAGGTTCCCATCTCAAACTAAAACACCCAAACGAGAAGCCAAGGGTGTATACCCGTCAACCACTTGGTTCAACTCATTAGGCACAATATGTAAAATGCCACCACTTGGATTCCAATCACTACCATGCATGAGTGTTGGGCCTTCGAACTATGACCTACTCATCCAAATATCAATATCAAGTTAGAAGATACTAGAAAGAATGATAATACAAGAATTGAGCAGTCAATGGAGCAAATGGAGTAGTGTCACTTAATTTAAAAAAAAAGAAATGTAAAACATCAAAAGAAAAAAGAACATCAACAGAGAAATCTAATGGACTAATTCAATTGAATAAAATAATTCATACCAGCAGTAGTGTCATGTGTCGAACCAGTACTCAATGATGTACTAGGCAAGCTACTTGGAGGATACCATGACATGGGTGGATCAGGTATGATGCGTGTACTCTCCTCTGAACTCTCATCTGAACTCCCACTATAAGAACTCTCATTTGCACTCCCACTATAAGAACTCTCAGAATTTGCAACGGCTGAATGTTGCCTCTGCCTAGAGCATCGTCGATCTGTCATGCTAGTTTATAGAAGACCACAAGCATACGTGTAGAATTTTAATATAACAGATATGATCCTTCTCAAGGACATAAAAGGTTGTCTCAAGGACAATCACGTTGAAAAGCAAACAAATGATGCATTTTAAAATCAAAGGTTTCATTAACATGAATATCTATGCTAAAAGCACAAATGTAACAATGAATATGAAACAAAATTATAATATCATATCATTTCTTCATCATCTTCAGATTGTGTTTGTGTCGATATCCCAAGAGGTCCAATAGTTTCATCAATAGTTGTTCCAACTTCACCTTGCCTAACCCAATTTATGTCCTCTTCACAAGCAAACGAAGTTGCATCTAACTCTTGGTCGCCAAATCCTTCCACTTCATTGTGATGTTCTCCATCATTAATTGGTTGTTCTTCACACACCTCATACAAGTCTCTAGGTTTCATCTGGACTACAACATCCCAATCAGCTTCAACGGGATCATTAACATAGAATACTTGTTGTGCCTGAGATGCTAGGATGAATGGCTCATCACTATTTTGTTTCTTTGTATATAACAAATGATTGAAATTAACAAGTGTGAAACCAAACCCATCCTGCATCAGTCCTTTGTTGTTGTCAATCCAGTCGCACATGAATAATACATATCTACGGTCGTATGAGTAATACAATTCAATAATATCTGTCACATATCCATAGTATGCTACTTCACCTTCCACAGGATTCATGTCTCTGGTACTTGCATAGCTACAAGTCTTTGCTTTCACCATAACCCCACTATTTTGAGTTTTTCTTCTCCACTCACGACTCCTCGTATGATACCTAGTACCATTAATTATATACCCATTGAATCTCGTGGCCTTTTTACTAGGTCCCAATGCCAAAGTTTTAATCTCATCTGACAACACAGCATTTTCAATAGCTAGAAGCTCTTCAACCTATTTTTACAAAGACAACAAAATTAAACATCAACTAACAAAGAATTAAAAATTGAAAACATGAGAATTGAAAATTAAAAACATGTAAGTTATTAGTACTTACATGAGAATTAAACCATCTGGGAAACTCATCATTGTGACGGCGATCCACATCAAAATCTTTGAGACGACGATGTGACCGCTTAATAAAATCACGATGCTCCCTATACATTTAAAGTACTTATAAAATGCAAGATACTTATTAATGATATCAATAAAATTTTGGAACAAAGATTGTATCTTACTCTCGATATGGGACAACTGCAACAGTGTTAAATAACACATACCGATGAGCTTGAACCCATGATGTGTTATCAAGCGCAAACCCTTTTCTTTTTCCTAAAGCATGACCCAGTAATATCCCAGGATTGTCGCTAACATCGTAATTCCTTATTGGTCGATTCAATTTTGACTCGACATCATCCAAGTACCTTGAGCAAAAGGTCATCCAGATATGCTATGTTGTTTGAGGTTAACACGACGAGAAATATTGGATGCATACCCATCTGGAACTTTGATATTCTTCAGGAGTGTACAAAACAAACCTCTCTCTCTATTGTTCATAGCGAAACATGCGGCAAATAATACCTGTTCCCAACCCCTTTTTTAGGATGTAATGCCTTTCGAATTCCCATATCTTGCAAGTCTCGACAAGCATTTAAATTATCCTTTCATTTCCCATCAACATTTAATATCGTCCACAACACATTATCACACACGTTCTTCTCAATGTGCATTACATCAAGATTGTGACGGATCAAATTATGCTCCCAATATGGAAGCTCAAAGAAAATACTTCTCTTCCTCCAATTATGATCCTCCTCGTTGTCCTCTTTTTCCTTTCCTTTCCTAGTTCTTTTTTGTCTGTTAGTTGGTTGATGCTTAGGCCCTAGCTGTCGTAACACATTAGCCCCCGATAACCGAGTTGGACATGGTTCAAATTCAAAAGTTCCATCAAAAGACGCACCATCTTTTCGAAATTTGTGACTCGCATTCAACCAGCGGCGATGCCCCATGTAACAAATTTTCCTTCCATTCTTCAAATACCGATGTCGAGTACGTATGTTACAACAAGGACAAGCTAAAGCACCTTTCGTGCTCCATCCAGACAAATTTGCATATGCAGGAAAATCATTTATTGTCCACAATAAGACCGCGTGCAATTGGAACATTTGATTAGTTTCTGCATCGTACGTCTGAACACCATTTTCCCACAATTCATTTAGTTCATCCACTAACAAGCGCAAGTAGACATCAATGTTATTGCCAGGTGAAGAAGGACCATCAATGAGCAATATCATCATCATATAAGGTTGTTTCATGCACAACCACGGTGGCAAATTATAAGGCATCACAATAACTGACCAACTGCTGTGAGCAACATTCATTGCCTTGAATGGATTAAATCCATCCGCTGTTAAACCTAGTCTGACGTTGCGAGGCTCAATCGCAAACTTGGGATACAAAGTATCAAAATTTTTCCAGACAGAAGAGTCAGCAGGATGTCTCATTTTGCCGTCATCAATTCGGCCCTCTGCATGCCATCTCATTAATGAAGCAGTTTTGGATGACATGAACAATCTTTGAAGTCTTGGAATCAAAGGAAAGTATCTCACAATCTTTTATGGAATTCTTTGTTGCTTCTTTTTATAATCATTCTTCTCACCCTCAAACTGTTTGTATCTAGGCGTCTGACACATTATGCAATCATCCCTACTAGCTGTCTCCTTCCAATACAGTGAGCAATCTCTTGGGCATGCATGTACCTTGTGATAATCGAGGCCCAATTCCCTATGGAGTGCCCTCGTTGCATAGAACGACTTTGGCAAAGTTTCACCTTTTGGGAATGCATCCTTCAAAAGTTTAAGCAACATCGTGAAAGACTTGTCGCTCCATCCACTAAGGCACTTGATATGCAATAATCGAACAACAAATGACAACGTTGAAAACTTGTGACACTCTGGATACAACTCTCTTTCGGCCTCCTTCAATAAACTGAAAAATCTTTCAGTTTTCTTATCCGGGCCTAGTTCGATATTAGAACTTCCTGTCTCATTACTAGCAAGATGAACCAAGCTTGGTGGAGGAAGTCCGAACCCCTCATATATCATTTCATTGACTTCATCGCCATCATTCGAATCACTGACATTCTCATTCAATGGCACAGACGCCGGTAAATCTTCCCCGTGAAAAATCCATCTGGTGTAGCTTGGAAAAAACCTATTGACCATTAAATGTTCCCCCAAAAGGTCTTTCTTTACTAGTTTGACATTCCGACACCGTTTACATGGACATGTGACTTCATTGGATAGAAGATTATTTTGGCATGTAAGTTTAACAAATTCCTTAACCCCTTCTATATATTCTGGATGCAACCTATGCTGATTTATCCAACTTTTATCCATCTGACTTTGTCTTACACTACAAATGTCACTGTCAAATCAACAAAGTTCAAAATTATCATTTCATTTTAATTATTCTTAACCTCAATTAAGTACCTTATAATGCATGCGACATGACACCATTCACCTCTAACTCTTCTCTAATAGGTTGGTTCATCGTACTTTCCCATTCAGGAATGCACAGTCTATATTGTAAAAAGTAGCTCATACCGCTCTATCCATCTCTAACGAAATTTCGGCAGCACCTCCCCATGGTTCTCCAAGTACACTACACAGACTGGGTGTATTGCTACGCCTTGTCTAGTATGCACCCGGAGAACATAAGGAGCTACTACACGAAATCTCTACGAGATGGACTATATTTAAGCGGTAGAACTACTAATTACAACATAGACTTGTGCTCCTGAACTGTCCAAACTGGACAATCCAAGAAGAGCCTCATCAAAGATGACTAGGTATCTCTGATGAAGATTCTTGGACGGGTCTACGGCTATTTATGCATGCATGGATAATTACTTGCTAAATTAACAACTTTCATGATTTTTGCATGCCGGTGGTGCAACTTGAATCAACACTATCAAGCATACTAGAAGCATTTCTAGCATGAAGCATATTAATAAAGAAACTAAAAGTTTCTATAATGCTCTTGATAGATTATGATATAGAACTTCATCAAGATAACTAGGTATCTCTAATGATGATTCTACAAGAACAACCAGATTATCCTGATTGATCACAAAGTAAAAAATTCCATGATTGTAATTGATAGCACATAACAATGGCAAGTACTCGATATTAGGTATGCTTCATTTAGTTTGTTCTTGTACTCACAAGTAAGCAACGAGTTCTCACTACTACATGAACACCCACACATACCAATATATCTTAGTAGTGTTCTATTTCATTTGTATAGCACCATTTTTGTGTCCCTATCAAAGCCCAAAAAGAAAACTGTGCAGACAAGGGTAGATTTCAAATTACTTAACAAAAAATTATGATAAACATTAGAAATTCAAAATCGTAATGTTACACAAAAAATATAAGCACAAAAAATATAGA